GTGTCCATTTTCTTTGAATTCTGTTCTGATTTGGAAGATTTATTCTGCTGGCTTTCGGTTTAGTTCCTGTTTTCCTAGTTCCTTTAGGTATGACGTAGGTTGTTTATTGAGATCTGTCTTCTTGATGTAAGCCTGTTTCTGTTAAATTTTCCTCTTAGCACGGAGGTTTGCTATGTTGTATCTTTATTTTTATTTGTTTCAAAAAAATTTTTAATTTTTATCTTGATTTCTTTGTTTACTCAAAACCGTTCACAAGCAAGTTGTTTAGTTTCTATGTTCTGTGTAGTTTCAAAAGTTCCTCTTAGGATTGATTTCTGGTTTTTTTCTAGTGTAGTCAGAGAAGATGCATGGTATGATTTCGATTTTTAAATTTTTATTAAGGCTTGATTTATGACTAGACATGTCATTGATCTTGAGTATGATCCGTGTGCGAATGAGAAGAATGTATAGTCTGTGGTTTGTGGGTAAAGCATTCTTTAGATGTCTGTTAGGTCCAGTTGGTCAGGAGTTGAATTTAAGTTTATAATTTCTTTGTTAGTAATTCTGCCTTGATGATCTTTCTAAAGTTGTTACTGGGATGTTGAAGTCGCCTGCTATTATTGTGTGGCTGTCCTCTCTTAGATTTAGTACTGATTGTTTTACACATCTGGGTGCTCCAGTGTTGGGTGTATATATATTTAGGATAGTAATTTCGTCTTATTGGATTGAGCCCTTTATGATTATGTATTGCCCTTCATTGTCCTTCCTTTCTTTCTTTCTTTCCTTCTTTCTTTCTATCTTTTCCTCCCTCCCTCCCTCTCTCTCTCTCTCTCTCCCTCTCTCTCTTTTTCATGTTGTTGGTTTAAAGTCTGTTTTATCTAACACAAGAATAGTGACTCCTGCTTTTTTTGTTTTCCATTTGCATGGTAGATCTTTCTCTATTCCTTTACCTTGAGCCTGTGGGTGTCACTAGAGGTAAGATGGGTCTCCTGGAGACAGCAGAAGGATGGGGGCCTGTTTCTTTTTTCCAGTTTGTCACTCTGTATCTTTCAAGGTTACTAGAAACGTGAGGATTTGCTCCTGTCATACTGTTGTTAAGAAGTTGTTCTGTGGTCTCAGTTCTTTGGATGATTTATGTGGTCTATAAACTATATGCTTACTTGTGCTTTTGTTTTAGGTAGCATTGTTCTTTCATTTCTATGTTTACAACTCCTTTAAGCATCTCCTGTCTTCTAGTCTAGAAGTGGCAAATTCCCATAGCACTTGCTTATCTAAGGACTTTGGACTTTATTTCACCATTGTCTATGAAGCTTAGTTTGGCAGGGTAGGAAATTCCTGGCTGGCATTTCTTTTCTTGAAGAATGTTAAAGACCAGGCGTAGTGACTCAAGCCTATATAATCCCAGCACTTTGGGAGGCTGAGGTGAGAGGATCGCCTGAGTCCACGGGTTCGAGACCAGATTGGGCAACTTGGTGAGACCTCATCTCTACAATTAACCAAAAAATTAGCTGGGCATGGTGGCTCCAGCTACTCCATGCCTGTAGTTGGACTCCAGCTAGTTGGAAGGCTGAGGTGGAAGGATTACCTGAGCCCAGCAGGTTGAGGCTGCAGTGGCCGTGAGCGTGCTACTGCACTCCAGCCTAGGTGACAGAGTGAGACTCCAACTCAAAAAGAAAAAAAAATGTTAAAAACAGGTCTCCAATCTCTTCTGACTTGTAAAACTTTTTTTCTGTGATTCTGATGGGTGTCCCTTGGTAGGTGTTCTATCCTTTCTGTCTAGCTGCCTTTAAGATTTTTTTCATCCATGCCTATTTTTAAAAACAGGTTATTTGAATTTTTTGTTGAGTTGTAGATATTCTTTATATATTCTGAATATGATTTCCTTATCAAATATATGACTTGCAGATATTTTCTCTCATGTAGTAGTTGTCTTTCCACTCTGTTGATTGTGGGAGTTTTTTTGGGTGGTTTTTTTTTTTTGAGTTGGAGTCTCACTCTGTCACTCAGGCTGGAGTGCAGTGGCACTACTCACGGCCACCCCAGCGTCAACCTGCTGGGCTCTGGCGATCCTTCCACCTCAGCCTTTCAAGTAGCTGGAACTACTACAGGTGCACACTTCCACACCTGACTTTTTTTTTTAATTGTAGAGATGAGGTCTCGCCAAGGTGCCCAGTCTGGTCTCAAACTCACAGGCTCAGGCAATCCACTTGCCTTGGCCTCCCAAAGTGCTAGGATTACAGGCTGAGCCACCAAGCCTGGCCAATTGTGTTTTTTGACTCATCAAAGTTTTTAGGTTTAATGTACTTTCATCTTTTTTGCTTTTATTGTTTGTGTTGTTGGTGTCATCTGCAAGAAGTAATTGCTAAGTCCAATATCAAGGTTTTTCTGTTTTTCTCTAGGATTTTAATAATTTTGGGTCTTACATTTAGGTTTTTACCCATTTTGAGTTTTTTTGTATGTGATGTAAAATAAAGATACAACGTTATTGTTTTTCAAGTGGATATTCCATTTGGCCAGCCCCATTTGTTGTAGAGACCATCATTTATCCTATTGAATGTTCTTGGCACCCTTGTTGAACATGAGTTGATTATATACACAGGGCTTTATTTCTGGACTTTTTATTACATTGGTATATTTGTCTGTCTTGAAACCAGGACCACACTGCTTTCATTACTGTAGTTTTATAACATGTCATAAAATCAGGAAGTGTTAGTCTTCCAACTTTCTTCTTCTTTTTCACAATTTTTTCATCATTCCTTGTGATTCCTGATTTTAGGATGACTTTTTTATCTCTACAACAAAAAAGTGTCATTGAGATTTTGATAGGGATAGTGTTGAATCTGTGGATTGCTTTGGGTAGTATAAACCTTTAAATAATTTTAAATCTTCCATGAACTTGGGGTGTCTTTCCATTTATCTGTGTCTTACTTCATTTCTTTCAGCAATTGTTTGTAGTTTTCAGTGTATAAGTATTTTACCTCCTCAGTTAGGTTTATTTCTAATTATTTTGTTCCTTTTGATTCTATCATAAATGGAATTGTTTTCTTCATCCTATGCATTTTAAAATATTTTTATTTTCTCTTGTATATTTACTCCTTCTATCTGTGTACTGAGAAAATTCCTGGACTTTATCTTTCATCTTTCTATTAATTCATTTTAGAGGGATAATTACTATTAATTTCCAACACATTGTTCCCTTCTTCCTTTTTTAAAATTTGAGTTTGTTCTTGTTTTATGATACTGACTTTTTCAGTATCTCTCTTTTTTTCTTTTTCTTTTTAACCGGGGTCTCACTCTGTTGCCCAGGCTAGAGTGTAGTAGCATGATCAGACTCAATCTCCTGGGCTCAAGTGATCCTCCTTCCTCCCGAGTAGCTGGTATAACAGGTACATACCACCATGCCCAACTAATTTTTTTTCTTTTGGAAAGAGGAAGTTTTGCTGTGTTGCCCAGGCTAGTCTCGAACTCCTAGGTTCAAGCAATACTTCCATCTTGGCCTTCCAAAGTTTTGGTATTACATACCTGGGCCACCATGTCGATCTCTACTATCTTTTGAAAATACTAGTTATAATTATTTGAAGTATTGCTTTGATTATCTTGGTTACCTTTGTTCCTTAGAGTGAGTTGTTTTTTCGTGTTCATCTTGGTCCCTTTTTCTTTTGTTATCGGTCTTTCTCAAATACTTGCAAATCCTTGGCTGTTTATATATATTTAAGAATGAAAAATTAGATTGATCAATATAGATAGCGGACCTGATTTTCCTCTTCCATGGGTAAATGTGTTTGTTTCTTTAATAGCCTTCCCTGAGCGGAAGAGTTAATCAGTTCTAGGTACAGTAGGCATGGTCTACAGCTGGCAGGCTGCTCTTTGTGTGTGTGGACATGGAATAGACCAGAACCCATCTCCCACGCCTCCCTGCAGGCCCAGGGGAGGGTGCTTTACTCAAGAATGCAGAGTAGACCATCCCATATACACATCTCTCTCTCGTCCACCTTGCTTCTCTCTCTTTGTCTCTCTGTCGCTCAATAGATTTGTTCCATTTTTCTTTCACGAATAGGCTTACACTATTTATCTTGGAGCCAATACCAGGTTGTTAGTTTCTGTCTGGGATTCAGAAGAATGAGAGTGGAGAGCTCTCATTTTCACAGGTTTTCTAGACATTCCTTCACCCCAATTGCTTCACTGTCTGACTCATTACCACCGGTGTCTGTGAGGAGGCTCCTCCCTCAAGGAAGCCAGCTCATCACCTTGTGTTTAATGCATCAGTATTCTCCTGTTTCCCATCTCTAGAAATGTATTGATAACTCTGCCCAACAATGTCTCATAACCACTTGCCTCATTCTCATTACTGCCTTTCTCTTTTGTATTTATGATCCTTCCAGTGTAACTTAGTGGAGTGAAAAACATAGTTTGCTATCTTGAATTGTGGATCAGGATGCATCTAAATTGTACCTGAAAATACTGTTTTGGGTTCTCAGGCTCTTAAATCAGCTAGTGACAGCTGAATTCTGCAGGAGAGGAGACCATGTTGGTCTTCTCAGAGTCTTCATTAGAATTGTTCTCGCATGTGCATAGCAGTTATGTCACTGTGTGCTGTGTCCTCCCATCCTAGAAAAGGACTGTCTGTGTTCTCATTAAGGGCAGGATACTTTGTTCATGGTGAATCATCTGTTGTAGTCGTCAAGGCCTCCATCTGCCAGATGGGGAGCTGGATCCTAGAGATTAGAGATAAATGAAATGTGCTCCGTGTCCTGAGAGACTCGTGGGAGTCCACACTCCAGGTGGGTAAAAAGACAAGTTGTTATGATACAGTGTAAGAGACACCACCATGTACGAGAGCTCCTCTCATGTTGCATAAGGAAGCATATAGGTACTAAACGAACGAAAGGATCTTCAGTCAACAGCGGTGCTTTTTTAAAACCCCATACCTCAGTGATACTCATGCTAATTGCACATTTTAGATTTCAAGAACTTAGTAAACTTTTCTCTCAAGAACTTAGTAAAACTTTTCTCTCCTACAGTTTTGACACATGATGAACTCTAGCACTGTTTACGTGAGAAGGAAACGTGGATGCATGACAAGGAATCTGCTGCCTGCTGGGGACATGTGGAACCAATGCTGAGACTTTTTGAAGTTTTGTTAAGATCAGTGACATATTCTTCAATTTTTAAAAAATCTTAATTATTTAAGAGACATGTGCTTAATGTATTGAATGAGTCTAAGTTATATTTAAGTACTTAAATATAAATATAAAATAAATATATTCGAGTATTTATAACTAGATTGTTTCTTTTTCCTGGTTACTGAAAACACTGGGTTTTTGCCAGTTAGGGTTTGGCGTTTTGCCAGATAGCCCAGTAGTGGGTATCTGACTGGCTAGTCCTCATAGATGTTTATCAGACCATCTACATCCTTTTGCATCCAGCTTTATGTGCATTCATGGTTCCTTATTCACAAAATGCATTTAAAGTTAGATAACACTATTTTGTGCTTTTTCTTCTGAGAAAGAAAAAGACTCATGATTGTATCAGAGTAATAAAAAGTAATTACACCCATTTATACTGTGTTTTAACCCTTTGCACTCGGAGACACCGCATGGATTGCTGACCGGCAACTCGACCACACTTTATGAAACAGTGAAAAACTATCAGTTCACATAGCGTTGGAACCAGTTATGTGATTGCAGTGATATTGGCTTATCTCCTAATTCATTTGTAAAATACAGAGTAAAATAGTCCATTAGTTCTCTTATATTACTTGCTGTTTGTGGTCCTGTTGTTTGAGGATACACAACAAAATTTATTCTCACCGGAGGACCTGTTTCTGTAACATCTTCCCATTCTGCACTTGGCGATATGTTGTCTTCTATGTCTTCGAAACTGCCAGCACTTTTATTGCTATCACTTCCTGTTACATTTGCCTGTTTCCTTCTTGGTGGGATGATATCACTATCACAACTATTGTTTTCTTCCCCATCAATATTTATTTTTTCTAACTTATCTGTATAAAAGTCTAAATCTAACTTATCTTCACCGCTGCTTATAACTCTCACTGTCTTTGCATTTTGCCATTGTTCTGCAAACTAAATGGATAAAAAACTTATAACTGTAAATTCCAAAATCACAAAATGAAATTTAAGCAAAAGAATATTACTTTTCCAACTTAGTGCAGATACAGATATTTTATCTGTGCCACTCGAAACTTCTACATAATGTCTTCAACTTCGAAAGTCCCTATTAAGGCTACAGTAACTTGCTCATCTATATTTTCAAATTATGCCATATGATACAAAAGGTATACCCACAGCTGCCTTTCTCAGATGGATGCTCTTTATCACTACCTTTTGTTACAAAGTGTCAGCACCAACTGTGAAAGCACTTCACACATTTTCTTACACATTCAGCTGATTATTTTTTACACGTATCTCAGTATATAGTCCGTCTCTTTATTTGCTTTTTTGTGCAGTTTGAGTGGAAATCTTCAAGGAAACATACATTTTTTGGCACTGGCATAAGTTTGCATAATCATCAGCAATCTCTTTATGTCCCCTAAGAGAGGACATCCAAGGGGTTTGCTAGATTTACAATGTCCCCTCAGAGGGGACATCTGAGTGCAAAGGGTTAAAATGGAAGTAATATTGCATTGGAGTCATTTATTTATCTTAAACCATATTGATGTTTTAATCCATGCTGTATTTGTATTTTTTAACGTTTCTAATTTTATTTCATAAAATGATATTTATGGTCATCTAGGGCATATATGTATTCTTTTTTTAAAAGGACTGGATACTTTTATGGAAACTAAGTTAAGGATATAAACAGTTTTCTGTTGTATATTAATAATAAATGAATAAGAATAGCAAATGTTTAAAAACTATTCAACTATTATAGAACCATAGGATCTTTGGACCAGAAGAGAACTCAATGTCATTTGGACACCATCTTCTGAAGAGTCTGGTTCAATAGGCCCAAAGTGAGCTTGGTAATCGATTGTCTGCAAGCTCTCCAGGTGATTCTGTGAATAAGTGAAGTTTGAGAAGCATGTAATGGAGCTGAAACCCCTGCCGGTGTGCCAGCAGCCCCTCTTACAAGGCCCTGTCAAGTGGAGCCTCAGGCCATCTTGGGAACCTCCAGGGACAATGGGGACCTCTCTATCTCTACAAACAGGCCATCCGTCTCTGGGTAGCTCTGTACATGCAGATCCATCATGAGCCAGAAGCCGTCTCCTGGCAGGCTGTGCTCAGTCCTGTGAGCTCTTCAGAACATGGGTAACCATTCTATATTTCACAGTACAGACCTTGGAGTGTTTGAAAATAACTTCTCTTCTCCCAGCAGCTCCATTCATTCCTAATAAGAGATCGCCTACCTCTCCCTCTTGGCCATCCTTTGTTATGTGTTTCTGTGTGTGATAAAACAGAGTGCTCTAGTTGTGGCCTATTTGGTGGAACGAGGTTATTCCTGTGGGTTCAAAGGATCCTGTGGCGGCTCCCAAAGGCTGGAGCGGTAAGTTGTCCTGAGATGGCAGACGTCACCTAGCTTACTTCCCTTTAGGGTTAGCTATAGCTGGGGCCTGCCGAGAGGTGAGAGACTTTGTAAGGTGCTAGGTCATGCTCCACCCAGCCACCCAGAGGTCCGCTCTAATGGTTGGGGGCAGAAGCCCCAACTGACTGTAAGATGCTACTTTGCTTTTCTTTGCTATTAGCCTGTTTTCACTTCCATGAGGATCTTGTGGGAAGAAGGATCAGTGGGACACTAGATTCCCAATCTTAGATTAGTAACAACTACTTTCTCCAGAACTCCAGAGTCCATATTTCATGGAGTATGAGCCAACATTGCAGAATAATATAAACGGTCTCGATGCCCGTTTGTATCTTGTGATTTGAATGACTGATTTGCATGTCTCACTTCCAGATAAGTGATACCTTATATCAGGAAATTCAGATTTATAAATAAACTATTTCTTTACAGAGGAGTATTTTGATAAAATGGCTCATTTTAGAGTCCTTTTATGGTAATAGGACAGCTGTTCTCCACTTTTCAGTTTATTAACCCAATTTACCCAATATAAACTTCTGTTTTCTGATAGACTCTAGAGTGAACCCTCTCGTTTTGTAATTTCATACCTTTACAACGCTTCTGTTGCAAAGATTTCAGATTTGGGAAATTATGATGTCCTCTACAGTTCAGTTACTTAAATGTAGAAAGTTTACTTTGGTCATGTGGATTTGCCCAGCCATGTAAGGTTTGTATCCTGCCTGATGTGATTTTGCTTTAAAATTTAGAGGTTTTTATTAGATTTGAAGGGAAAGATATTACTCAGATTTCAAAGACTGGCTTAAAGCCAAAGTGTTATTTGAATGGCAAAGGCTCCAGATCAACTTTAAACTTGCAGGGAAAGGAGAGGAATGATTATGGCACTAGCCTTATTGGGTAGGATGACTTTTGAACAGAGCTGATCACATAGTAGATATCTAGTCTAAAGCATCAGAGTCATACAGACGTCCTTAAACTTACCAGTGCCATGTTGTATCTTCCTCTCCACTGGTATATGTAGCTTTTTTCTTTGCGTCCCCACAGTCTACTTCTTCTAGAAAACTATTTCTAAAAAGTTTTATCTAAATAAGGCCAGTAATGTAGTAGGAGGGCTCTTTAGTCTGAACAGATTGAACAAATATTTCAACAAATAATTCAAGTACCTACTGTGTGCCAGGCTGTCCTTTGGAAGTTGCTCGACCAGTATCCATGACAGGTGTTGAGTCAATATCCAAGTGAAAACGCTGTGAAGGGAAAGTGTCAAGAAAGGCCTACGCTGGTGGCATCTGGGGTGGAGCCTAAAGGAAGAGGGATAGAGGAAGGGCTGAGACAAAGCGTGTGAGGCTGCAGCCAGGGCGCGGTCTTGCCAGGGAGGACAAGAACCACATGAAGAGCTTTGGTGATGTGACCCCCAAGTGCAACGAAGGGCTCACCCCATTAATCTACATCCAAAACTGCTTGGCGAATACGTTTATGACTGTTTTGCTTCCCAATATTTATTCATATCATCAGTGTTATCAGGTGACGGCGCTAGATTTGCTAGTGCTTTTCTTCACTGCACAGTGTCCATCATGAATTTCCCCTGATCTGAGGCCCTGTCCTCCAAGGCAGAGCCCTCCCTTCATTTTACATGGTTTAGTTCTTGTACATGTGGTAGAAGGAAAAGATGCTATTTTGTTTGCACAAAAATCAATCCATTGTAAAGTCATTCTTCTTTAACTTGAGGTAGCAAAGGCATAAACACTGCGGGAAACAAAATATTGCTACAAGTGACATACATGAAGGGAAGAAGTATTAACAGAATCCTAAGAAAACTTGATATGGTGAAGTGTATGTTATTTGCAAGAAGGGTTATCCTTTGTTATTTCTAAAAAAGAGGGGAAAAATCACATCGGTTTAGGGAAACCAGTGTAAGGAGAAAAATCCTTTTAATGTAGCTGTAAGCGGCACACTGTTCAAGGATCTGCCTATAGGAGTCTCCTGTAATAATAGGGAAATATACCTATTTCCCTGTAATAATAGGAAAAGTACCCAAAAGACTTAGAACGGTTGAAATCCACTAAGAAATGCTGGAAGCAATGCTCTCCCTTATGCCTTTTAAAAATGCGCAATTCTGATTTCCTCATAAAGACCTTGGGTCTCGTGTTCCCAGTGACCCCTTCCAAGCCCAGGCTACTGTGTCCCTGGGAGCCTCGCAGCCAAAGGGATGTTTATCCTAGTAGATGGAGCTTCACTTTTGTTGCTCAGGAAAAACAGACCTAAGTAAAGGTTGGAAATGTGTTCAAAAAAGACACTGCAGCCTGAGTTGTCTCCTGTGTGCTTCGTCAGAAATGGAACCCTAGTATAAGGCAGTAAATTAATATGCATATTAAGCTTCGATTTATCATGCAGCCATTCCCAAAGAAGGATGTGCTCAGCAGAAAAGGGTTTGCAGAGTTCAGGGTCTCTGCAGTGTGAACTGTAAGCCTTAGGATTAAAATGATTTGATTTCTTTTTTAAGGGTCATGAAGAAGACCCTTTTTTTTTTTTTTTTTTTTTTTTTTTGAGTTGTAGTCTCACTCCGTCGCCCAGGCTGGAGTGCAGTGGCACGCTCAGGCCACCGCAGCTCCGACCCACTGGGCTCCTATGATCCTTCCACCTCAGCCTTACAAGTAGCTGGAACTACAGGTACGCGCTACCATGCCTGGGAATTTTTTTTACTTATTGTAGAGATAAAGTCTCACCAAGTTGACGGGCTGGTCTC